TTTGTATGAAGAAGTTATAAAGAAAATAAAGAAAGAAAAAAGAAAGAAAAGGAAAGAAAATAAAAGGGATATATATAAGGAAAAAGAAAAGTATGAGAAGAAAGAAAATAATAGTGATGAAGAAAATAAGATTGATCGAGGAAATGAAAAAGACAGAAAAAATAATAGTGATATAGAAAATATTAGCGATAGTGAATATATAAATGATAAAAAAAAAGATAGAAAAAAAAGAAAACACACAGACAATGATACAAAAAAGAGAAACAAAGAATCACACCATCATGTTAGCAAAAAGAAGGATAAAAATATATCCACAAGGAAAAAAAGAAAATATACATCCTCATTAAGTTCAGAAAGTTATGAAAGAAGAAAAGATAAAAAGAAAAAAAAAGAAAAATATAGAAATTCGGGATCTAGTTCTAAAAGGTTAGTTATATTATAAATATAATATATATAAATAAGGTCAAACAATGAAAAAAAAACAATTATATGTATAATATTATTATTTTATAGTATGGTTGATGAAAATATACCAAAGGATCCTTTTAATCCTTTATTATTAGCCTATGAAAGGAAAGAAAAGAAAACATACAGGTATACAATAAAAAAAAAAAAAAAATGGATATTGAAGAATGAAATTTAAGAACACAATAAATAAATAAATAAATCTACATCTATATATATACACATATATATATATATATATATATTATAATCTATAGTAGCATTTTTTTTTTTTTTTCTCTGTTACTATAGAAAAAATGAAGAACATAATGATTTAAATGATAAATGGAAACATGATAGGTAATTAGAAATGGAAAAAATATAATGCGTATTATATAGAAAATAAAAAATATTTAAAATTTTCATTAAACAAGAGAAAAAAGAAATATTTCATTTTGTGTATAAAAAATATATGTATATTTCTTATATTTAACAGATACGAAAACACATCAGAGGATGAAGATATTAATAATGAGAGAATTTATGAAAATTCAAAACCTTTTTATGATCCACATGAATTACCGAAAATTTTGTGGAAATCAAAGGCGGGAGTAAATAATATATATATATATATATATATATATATATATGTACATTTAATTATATAATATATTTTTTTTTATTTTATAAAATATTCCTTCTGTATAATTTTTTTTTTTTTTTTCCGTTTAGGGAGTTTGTGTACCACAAATAAGCGATGACAAAAAATGAAAAATAAAAAAAGACAAAAGGAGAAATAATTTTCTAACCCTTTTAATTCATCAAAAAAATAATCTCTTTTTTTATTTTAATGTACATTTTTTATTTGTTATATTTTTGAACCTTTATATGATTTTTAATTTATCCAATGCATTGTGCATATATTTATATATCTGAAAATTTTGTATGGTATAAAATCTACAAAATGGACCTAGAATATTGTATATATTATTATGTGTATGTATTTGTGTATTTTTACACACATTAATATATGTATATATATATATATATATATATATATTCCATACCTATATATATTTTTATATTTTTAATTTTTTTTTTTATTCTTTAATATAAAAACTTTATTTTTTGTTATTCAAGTCTTAATCTATTCTTCTTTAACAAAAAGATATATAGTGAACCATATAGTAGTAATTTTAATACATGAATTATATTATGAATAAAAAATAATAAGCTTAAAAAAGATAATAAATGACAAATATATCTATATATATGTTTAACATAAAAGACGTTAAAATAAGAAGCATATAAAAAATTGATTAAATATAAATATATATATATATATATATATATATATGTATATATTTATTTATTTATTTATATATTTGTGTGAGTCATAATTGGTCTCCCTTTTAAATGGATAAATTATATGGAGATTATGATAAGGTTTATGAAAAATATAAAAACAATAACCTATATAGAAGAAAGAATGAAAAAGAGGACTTGAATAAAGTAGACAAAAAAAATAAGATGGAGATGAAAAAAGAGAAGGATAATAATAAAAAAGATAAAAAAATCAATAAGAAAATGAAAAAAGAAAACGGCGATATTAGTGATATTTCTCAAAATATATATACTGATGTATCATATGATTATATTGATGCTATTAGAAAAAATAAAAAGGGAAGGAAAAAAAAAGATAATTTAAGGGATCTCTCATTTAATGAATATAAAATAAGAAAAAAACTAAGTATAGAAATAAATAAAAAAATATATAGTGATAGTGAAAATGTACATGTACATCATAATACATTTGTAAATAAAAATCAAGGAATAAATGAAAATAATTATGTTCCAACAAAAAAGAAAAAATTAAAATATGACGATCAAAAAGTAAAAAAAATGTTAAATAAAAAAGACAGAACAAAATTTTTTTTAAATTTCTTTTTTGTACTATATTATATATTCTTCTTTTTTCATTATATTATTGACCTTCAATTGAATAATATATATAATATAGTATTAAATACTTTTACGATTGTTATTATTACATCTCTTTTATTATATATATATTTTCTTAAATCAAGAAATAAGAAATTGAAAAAAATTATTCTTTATATAAATGCATATATCAATTTAATTTATTGCTTTAATATATATAATACTTTATTTTATTGGTTACATATCTATTTAAATTTTACATTAAGTAAAAGAATATACTTAAAATATAAAACTCTTTATAAAAATATTTCCTTTGTGTTTTCATATTTTAGTTTCGATGAAATTTTCTTTTTTCTTATTATATTTTACGGTTTCTTCTCATTTACATCTACTATATTAACACTTACCTTATTTTATTATATATACAACTTCATAAATTATAATTTTTGATAAACTTATATATATATATATATATATATATATATATATATATATAATGTTCATTATAGACAAGAAAAAAAACAAAATAAAATGAAATAAAATAAAACTACTTAAATTAAAATCTTTTTAATTTGTTTTTTTATTTTTTGATAAATGTTCAAACTGAATAAGGTTATGAATATATCAAAAATATGATTTATATAAAAATAAATTAAAATAAAATAGAATCGGCTCATAATATTATATATTAAAAGGGTGTTAATATATATATATATATATATAAGTGATTATTATACATCATAAGAAAAATAAAAAAAAATTTTATACATTTTCATATTTTATGTTTTTTTTTTTTTTCTTGTTGGTGTGTTTGTGTATATGATCAAGGTTAATTAAAATATATATATATATATATATATATATATTTATATACATTACATAAAAAAAAAATAAAAAGAATATAATAACTATATAATGTATCATAGGGAGGCATTATAAAATATAAAAATGATAATAATACAAAAGGAATGGTGATTTTTATAAAAATACATATTTACAAAAAAAGAAAAAATATATATATTACCAATCAAATTATATTAAACAGAACGATATTCTTCATCATTTGTTACATCAAAATCTTTAACAATATTATCTACATTTTTCTTGTCATACTTATCTTCCTTGTCTTTATCCTTACTTCTATATTTTTTACTTGAACTTTTTCTTTTTTTCTTTTTATATTTTTCATAATATTCTATATAACCAGATTTTAAGTTTTTTATTTTGGGTACACTACATGGATACTGATACAATAAGATTAATAAAAGATATATATATATATAAGGAAATATTATAATATAATATAAAATATTCTATACATAAATGTATAATATATATTTTACCTTTGAGCTTAAGACATTCTGGGTAAAAAAAACATTTTTAACCATATATTCTAATGTACTCTCTAAAGATATAAAAACATAAATACAAAAAAAAATATAATTGTTTATTTATATTAAATTATATATTTACTTTCCCGTATATATATATACAACAAAGTTATATTCTTTTTAATATACATACCACTATCAACATTATAATAATTTAATATAATATCATCTATTCTTTTTAAAGTATTTTTTTTCTTTTCTATTTTTTGTATGAGGCTTTTAGCTTCTTCGTTCTATAGCATAAAGGGGTGAATACATAAATATATTTATATATATATATATATATATATATATATATTTTTAAATGTATATTCATTTGTTAATATTATTTCAATATTATATAGATACATTAAAATCTTGGTAAGCCATTAACATCATGACATCATCTATTTCGTTAATTAGAGAGGGCTACAAAAAAAAAAAAAAAAATAAGAAATATTTAAATAAGAATTATTTAAATATAACATCTATAATAATTAAAAAAGAAATAATTATCAATGATATGTTATTAAACAATTATATTGGAAAAGCAATATTACTTTGAAAATTTATAAGTTTGTGTATATAATTATATTATATTATATATACAAAATTACCTTTTCTTTTACATAAGAAGCTAATTCTTGTTGTGAATATATTATTGCTTCGTTAATATTATTCTACAAACAAATAAAAAAAAAAAAAAAAAAATTGTACATTTATATATATATATATATATATATATATATATATATATATATATATATATGTATATGTATATATTTATGTGTTCCTTTTTCTTATATCTACTTACATTTAGAATCAATTTTAATAATTGTTGTTTCTTAAGGAAAAAAACTAAATCCTTATGTTTTTTTAAAATCTAATTATAAAGGAAGAATAAAATAATAACATATAAATATAAATATATATATATACATATATACGTATGTATGTATGTATGTATTTTATATGAATCAAATATATAAGGTGATATTAAAATATGTAAAAAAAAAAAATAAATTTATATATATAAATTATATCTGTTTACTTACTCCTTTGTCTAGATTATTGATATGTTCTATGGCTTCTTCTATTTTGTTGTTCATAATTTCATTTTGAATAAGGTAACGAATTTTTACGGTATTAATAGGCATATCAGCTACCGAAATAAAATTATATTAACATTAATATATATATGTGTGCCATAATTTTATCATAATATATAATAAATATAATATAAAAAATAATCAGATCAAGGATGACATCCTATAATTTTCATCATTCTACATTTAGTAGTATGAAATTTAAATGTGCGCCCATATATTATATCATCATTTTATTTTATATATTATATATATCATATAATTTCTATTAATATATTATAATATTTTATTTTATTATTAAAATTTTATATACGTTTAACATTGGATTCCTTTTGAAATTCCTTAGCCACGTCATACATTCTATGAACACAGAAGTAGTTCATTAAGACTTCGTTAATATCATTTTCGTTTATTTTTGTATTTTCAAACTCTTTTAACCAATTTTTCCTTAAAAAAAAAAAAAATAATATAATATTAGCATATGAATAAAATATAAATACACAAACACGTGAACATATACATATTCACCACATAAAATGTAAATGAAGTTTTGGTTATATAATTTCATAATGTCATACGGGTTCAAATATATTTGACAGTTCTCATCTAAATTATCCTCAATCATTTGTTCAAAAGAAAAAAAAAATTTTAATAAGGTATTATAAAAAAAACACACATAAATATATATATAATATATTATGCAGAAATAATAATTTTTTTGACTACATATGTATAAACAACCCAAAATTTTTCTTAAATATGTATAAGTCTTTTTTCTTAGCAAATATTTTGAGGAAGAGAAAAAAAGAAAAAAATACAAAAAAAAATATGAAATAAATAATTAAAAAAAAAAAAAAAAAAATTCTTAAAAATCATATAAAATATATTTATATTTATTTGTTCATATGAATATATATTAACATATATCACTTATTAATAATATATATAAGTATTTATAATAATTACACGATGATTAATAAAAATAAGAATAAGCAAAGATAATTATACACACAAATTTATAAAAAATTATAAATATATTATATACTGAAAATTTTGCATTAAAAAAAAAAAAAAAAAAAAAAAAAGATGAGCTTAATTCTTACAATATCTTCATTTGAAAATATAATAAATTAAAATATAAAATAATTTAAAAATATTATATAAAGTCGAAATAAAACAGAAATATATATTTTATCAAAAAATATGGTATATATTTCAAATATTTTATATACTTAATATTACATGTATATAAAAAAAAAAAAATAAATAATAGTAGAATAAAAAATAAGAATAATTATAATATAAAATATAAAGAAATAAAACAAATGAATTCTTAATATTTCATAAGAACGTATTATAAATTACATATCAATTTTGTAATTTTTTAAAAAAAGAAAAAAAAAATGAAATTAATAAGATAGATAAAGTAAGAAGAACCAATACCACAATATCTACTCTCCAGAATTGCTATTTTTTTTTTTTTTTTCAATGAAAACATTAACATTTAAAAAGGAATAATTAAATCATGTAAAATGTGGCATCGAGGTATAAACATATATATGTTATATGGAACTTATATATATATATTAATAATTATTTCACAACCTTACCTTATCCATTATAGTAATATTGTTTATCTGAACATTTGCAGGAGTGTTAAGTTTATTGTGTAATTCGTGTAGATATGTAATACATAAATGGCATGTTCCCTTACTAGGTAAAAATATAAAGGGCTTATATTAAATGAAAAAAAATTCTGAATATAAGGGTATATTAATATTTATGTATATATATATATATATTTATATAATATATTAATTTTTAATATTTGTTTAGGTGTTGATTGTAATGCCAACCCAAGACATAAACAAGTTTTATCAAATCCATCACCCAGATCTAGAGGGATACCAAAATATTTAGAAAAATATATTTTTTATAAGCAAGCTCCTAGAAATCCTAGATATAAATCACAATTCATTACTATGTATACAGCAGGTAAATGAAAAAAGCAAATAATAATACCTTATTAATCAAATTAAAAAGAAACAAAAGAAAAAAAATAATAATAAATAAAGAAAGAAAAACACGAAAAAACAAAACGAAAATGAATAAATACTGTCTATATATATATGTAATTGTAAGTTTTACTTATTAATCATATATATAGGAAAAATTTTCTTTTAATCATTTTTTTTTTTTTCTTTTTTATATTTTACCTAGGAAGGAAATATAGACAACAAATTAAAAAAACTGCTTAAATGTAAAATAATTTATAAAAATTATATTAATATATTTACCTTAATAAAGAATATTTTATTATATTGGTTATATTTTTTATGGTATTCTGTTTTTCGTTATATATAAAAATTTTTAAATTATATATAATATTAACACAAATAAAAAATAAAATAAAAGTTATTTTAGACTACATAAATATTTATATGCGTATTGATTTTTTATTTATAAAAAAAAAAAAAAGAAAAAAAAATCGAAAATCAAAAACGAAAAAAGAAAAATCAAATATGATAAACGAAAAATGAAAAAAAATTATGTTATAAAAATATAAGGTATCTATCATAACAGTATATATTATATTTTAAATATTGAAAAATATATTTTTAAATAATATATATATTATATAAATATATATTGATTTTATCGAAATATGAATATATTTTTCTTTATTCTTATAAATATAAATTTCTATTCAAATAATTAAATTTGAATTTCTTAATTTTAAAATTTTTTTATTTCATTTAATTAAATAAATGAACAAAAAAAGAAAAAAAAAAAATTACCAAATATTTGTTATTTATAATTGCTACATTAAAGCAAATAATTTAATATAAATTTGGTTTATACTTAAGGAGACATATATAAAATATAAATAACTACTTAAATTAAAAAGGAATTGGTTTCTTTTTTCTTGGTTTTTTTTTTTTATTTCCTGGTTTACGTTTATTTATTTCATCATCATCATCATCATCATCGTCATCATCATCGTTATAATCATCATCGTTATAATCATCATCATCATCGTCATCATCATCATCATCATTATCATCATTACCATTATTTGTTGAATCTATGGATTCATCATCATCATCGTCGTCGTCATCGTCATCATCTCCACCATTAAAGTTATAATTATTGAAAAAATCAAAATTTCCATTATTATTATTATTATTATTTATATTACCATCATCAGCTTTAGGCTCAGGAGCTGTTTGTTTTTCTAATACTGTAGGAGAAGGGTCGTTCATGTGTTCATCTTCATGTTCCCCTTCTGGTTGATCAGTAAATTGACAAAAACATTTATTCTCATTCTTTAAATATCCAATAAGGTGAAAAAGAATAAGGAAAATGAACAATATATATTTTGGAACCATCTTGTAAATATATATATAAATATATATATATATTATATATTTATTATATGAACAAAATAGGTTCAATATATATATGTATATATATATATATATATATTTCTTCAAACTCTTAAAATATTTATAAGTGCTTATTTTAATATATATATTTTTACAATATAATAAATTATGTATACAAAAGTCCAAAGTTCTTTGTTATAATTGTAGTGTAGTACATATAAATAAAATAATATTTTTTCTTTATTCTTCTCACATATAAATATAATATATATATATATTAAAAATAAGTTATATGTATAATAATACTTCCCATTTAAAAAACATATATAATAATATATTATTATATATATTATAAATTCTTTATTTTTTTTTCCTTCAGATTCATTAATACTATAATTTATAATTATTATATAAATATATAAAATTATATATATATTTAAATTTTCACAATATATAATACATTAATAAATTAAAATATATAAGAATTATTAATATAATTTATTGGTTTTTTTTTTTTTTTTAAATATATATATAATATATATAATATAATAATTTACATATCAATAATATTGAGATATCAAATGAAAAATGAAAAAAAAGGATCCTCCATATTTTTAATAATTATTTTTTATATATACTAATTTTTTTAATATAAAATATCATAATCCAATGTTAAAATAATTTTTGAATATATATATATATATATATATATATATATATATACATTAATATATAATAATATGTACTTTATAAAAATCATAATTCATATATAATGAAATGATATATATATTATATTTATTTTTTTATTTTATTATAAAAATATAAAATAATCATATTTTTTTAATATTTAAACATATACTTATTTTTATTTATTTTATTTTTTTTTTTCTTTCTTCATTGATCTTACTATTTAAAGGTATGAAAAAAGAAACACTTTTTTTTTTTAAAACGTGCATGTATATATTGATGGATGCCCCCGAAATGTTTTGAATAGAATACATGATTATTATAATATATATATATATATATATATATATTTAAAAAAAAAAAAAAAAAAAAATATATATTTTATATATAATAATTATATATTGTTTATATATATACTATTATATATAATATAAATTATGTATATAATGATATATATAAAAAATTTGTATATCAAAATATAATATTTATTTATATAGATTTTGTTTCATATATATTGTATAATAATAATAATATTTATAAAAATTTTATATCTGAATATCTTTAATTATATAATAATATGTACAACAATATATACATTATATATATATATATGTTTTTAGCTTTCTATTCTTTTATAAAATATATATATAATATATATAATAATTTTTTCATAAGGATAAAGAAACTATAATGTGATAAAAATGGGAAATAATAATGTAATTTGTAAAAAAAAAAAAAAAAAATTTAAATATATAATGTAAGGTAAATATTTTATATTTATATATATAGTTATTTTAAAATTTTAAATGGTGTATAATTTTTTTAAATCCTTTTATTATAAAAAAAAAAAAATTGAAATACTTATAAATGCCCATAAAAAAAAATATATATATATATATATAATATATTTTATTATTATATTTTACAATAAATAATATAATATTTAAATACAAAATATAAAGCAAAAGTTAATTACATTAATATATAAACTTTAAACACATAATAAATATAAAATAAATATATATAATATATATATATATATATATATATATATATAAATTTATCCTATGTGGCTTGTTTTTTTTTTCAAGTTCATAATTTTTGCGTCACAAGAAAATATAACTACTTTATAGGAAAATTTTATGTATTCATTTATAAAATTTA